TGCCATCTTACCGGAACTCCAAGACAAATAATCCTGATGCTGTCTCTCAGTCACGTGGGAGAGTTGCTCAGGCTCTGTTATTCTGAATCAGATGAAATCTGCCTCTGAGCGGCCCTTGCCAGCAATTCAACATCCTTGTTACAGGGGCCTCCTCACCTCCTCAGAGGTGCAAAGGCCTCAGAGACTCCAGTGTCCAGAACATGAGGGAAGCCACCGTTCCCAGCTGCAAGGTCCTGCGGAGGCAGGCAGTCTGCTGCTTCTGGCCAAGGCAGGTCCCTGCCTCCAGCAGCTCTGCCTGAGGCTTGGTCTCCGCCCAATGGCCCTGCTGAGATCCCAGGAGGCATGTCCATAGTGCTCAGACCCTGCTAGCCTCCCTCCTTCCCTTGCAGACACACCCCTCCTTTCCCTTGGCATTTGCTCCCCTGCCCTCCACAGGTCTTTGAGCAGGAAATGCTGGGATCAGTCAGGTGTTTCTCTCCATCTCCTTGCTGCTCCAGCATCCCCAAGGCTGCCTCCATTGGTTCCTCCAGTGAGGACCAGACTGCAGAGGTGTCTGCAGGAACTGCTGGGGCATGGCAGGCTGTTTCCTTACAAGCTTAGCTGCAAGGTGCCAAACTGTTGCAGCCAAGCCCCAGAGAGCACTGTTAGAGGGAATCCTGCACCCATTTGAAAAGGGTTGAAGATCTGGGCAGGGCCCTGGAGATGCTTATCTGTATCTAAGAGCCATGGTCACTCATTCATTCAAGCAGTTGGTCAGTAAATGTTTACTGAGTGCCAACATTGTGCCATGCACTATCCTGGCTCTGTGGGTACAGACATGAATAAAGCGGAGCCTGTTTTTCAAAGAGCTCACGGCCTAATGGGGAGACACACACGTCCTCAGGCACTTGCCTAGCCTTGTGCTAGATGCTACAACAGACAGGAGTAAAAGTTGCTATTTATCTACTGGTTCCAAGCGTGAGATGGATTTGATGCACTGTTGCTGGTCTGAGATGTGGCGTCACGAACAACCACTGGAGAGAGACCTCCAGGAACTAAAGTCAGCCCCTGGGTTATGGACAGCAAGGAAGCAGAACCTCCTACAACCACGAGAAACTGAGTTCTGCCAAGATTAGAAGCAGATTTTCCCCTAGAGCCACCCCTGCTAGCACCTTGATTTTAACTTTGTGAACCCCAAGAAGAGCCCAGCTGAGCCCACCTAGACCTGTAACCTACACAACTGTGAGAAAATAACTGTGTGTTGTTTTAGGTCTATGGTGATTTGATACAGCATCAAGAGGGATCTAATACACCGCCCTCTAGTCTCCCCGAGTGCCTTCCATTGGCTAAGCCTACCTGTCCAATCATGACTCCTCTCTGCTACTTCTCAGAGTGTAGGTTTCTGCTTTAGGCCATCTGACTAGATGCTACTGGACCAGTGGTTCTCAAAGTGGGGTTCCCAGACCAGCAGCATCAGCACCACCTGAACGCCTGTTAGAAATGCAAGTTTGTGGGCTGTACGCCACGCCTCCTGAATCACATGCTCTCGGAGAGGGGCCGGGAAGCTGTGTTTCCACAAGCCCTCCAGAGTTCTGGGGCACCCTGAGGTCTGCGGACAGCTACGCTAATCCATGAGCTACGTGAGGGCAGGAATGCCTCTTCTTACCCTGTAGCACCTAATTCAGGGCCTGGTTTGGAGGAGACACCCATTGCTGGGTGGCTGTGGTAAACAGGTGGCTGGGAGGTCACTGGGCTCTGGGCAGCATGGGCTGACAGGCCCTCTCTTTTTGTCTTTCACCTTGCTTCCACTTTTGCTGGGATGTGGGTACCTCCCAGGGCAGTGCCAGGGGCTGCAGGCATGCCAGGTGGCAGCAGACAGGACCTACTTTGGAGACCTTTGCCCCACTCTGGGCAGCTACCTATGGGTACAGTACCGGTGCCTAGAAGGTGAGTCTCCATCTTGCTTGGGTGTGGGGTTTCCTTCTCATTTCTGCAGCAGAACGAGCTTCCAGCCACTGCCCACACAGGCCCATCAGCTGTGCACTAGGAGACTGCCTCGCTGGAAGGAGCTGACCTGCGGCCGGACCACCCCACCTGGGGGAGCCTCTTGGCTCATTCAAGGCTCGTTCAAGGCTCCCGTTGGAAACGTTCTTTAGCAGAAACAAGCCATTAAGCCAAGAGGCAAAAAAAAAAAAAAAAAATGCATGTATTTTTGTCCCAGGACCCTTAAAAGAAATTTTAATGGGTAGCCCAATAAATACACAGGCAAAAAGAAGGCTGCTTGATTGGAAGGGATCACAAGGTCCTTCACTCCCATTCCCCACACCCACTCAACATTCTTCCCATAAACACACAAGGACTTTTTTTTTTAAAAACATAAACATTGAAATCCATGTAAATAACCCATGCTATCACAATTTAGGAGCCCTGGTGGCCCAGTGATTAAGCGCTTGGTTGCTAACAAAAGGTTGGTGGTTCGAACCTACCAGCCACAGGAGAAAAGACCTGGTGATCCGTTCCTGGAAAGATGACAGCCTAGGAAACCCTGTGGGGTAGCTCTACTCTGTCCTACAGGAATGCTACTAGTCATTATCAACTCAAGGCACACAACAATTACAATTTACAACAGTGTTACAATTAAGAAGGGAAAGTCCTCCCTTCAGTTCTGCAGCCCTATTCCCCATAAAGCAGGAAGTCTTCCCTGCTTTTTTTAATGTGTGCATACAAATGGCTGTCTGTATATAGCAATATATACATGTATAGGTACAGTTTTATAAAAACAAAACCATGTTAAACATACTGGTCTACAATTTAATTTTTTCACTTAATAATATATCCTGGAATCTTTCCAAGCCACTACCTCATCCTTTTCATGACTGCTGAGTTTTCCACCATCACATGATATTGGACTTGAACAGTCCCCCTACTGATGGGCATTTAGCTTCCGGTTTTTCGTGATTATGTGTCAGGCTGCAGTGTTCCCTCTTGTGCATATATCTTCACGTGTGTCTGGTATGATTTTTGGAGGAGGGATTCCCAGTATCAGGAGTGCTGAATCATAGAGGATGGGCATTTTAAATGTTAGCTGATATTGCCAAATTTCCCTCCAAAATGATTGTGCCAATTTACATTCCTAATGGCAGTGTACGAGAGCATTTCCCCTAGGTGTGAAATCATAGCCTTAGTCATTGTCAGACAAACAAACGGGTAGGTCCACACTGCTCCTCTACCGAGGGCAGGGGCAATAGGACAAGCAGCTCAGAAGAGTCAGGAATGTGGGAGTCTCAGGGGCCATCCTGGAGAGCTGAGCCCTTGGGTGCAGAAGAAGAGAGGACCACACAGATAGGAGGGCAGCATCGAAGTCAGGTTTCCCCAGTGGCATTTAGTTTGCTGGACACACCAGCATAAAAGAAAAGTGAGAATATCTCTGCTCGACTTTCTGGGAAGAGCAGACCGTGTGTTTTGGCAGAGATTTCCATTTGGCAGTTAAGCTAATGGACAAAGGGTGCCCATGTCCTCTGGAGAGCTCCTAGTGGGAGTGGTGTCCTCACACAAATATGTAGCTTAGGGCGAGGGTGTGTTATAGCTAGTGACCCCCAGAAAGACTGAGCTGCATAAACGAGCCCAGGGTGCCAGGGAGCCGTGGAAGCTCTTCTTCCTTTTCCTCACCCTCCATGCCAGCTGTTGGAGCTCAAGATCCAACAAGCTCAAGAAGGGACAGGATACAAGAGGCTGAGTGCACAAGGAGAGGCCTTCCTT